AGAGATCTAAAAAAACACCAACCGCTAATTCACCACGATCAATAGCAGATGAAATTTTTTCATGCAAATCAATCAAGGCAAGCGTCGTAGAGTGGTTTTTCCTGAAGCCGAACTGGTTATCACAGAGAATACGTAAATTAGTTAAAGAATCATACAAGCGATTATAGATGATTCTCTCTAGAAATTTTGAAAAGCTTGGTAGAACCGAGATAGGTCTATAGTTGGTGAATAGTGACTGGTCATCAGCTTTAAACAGTGGTACCATACGAGCTATTTTCATTTGATCTGGTACAACGCCATAAGCGATCGATAAAGAAATTTGAAAAAGAAAGAAGAAATCTGAAACCACTAATATCGACCGAATGAGAAGAATCGTTTAGCTAGGTCTCAGAAATTCCGATTACAGAAAATTTTAGCTAAAACATGATAGATAGTCAGTCAGCTTTACTAAATTATGAGGAAGACTACGAATATTAAGTTGTAGGAAAGAGAAATCGGCATCAGAATAATTTTCGCGTCTGAGCATTTCGTTAAATTGATTTTCAATAAAATAGTCGCAGGGTGTCTCATCTGCATTAAAATTAATGTCAGGATTAAGACTGCCAGACTATGTCAAAGAAGCGTTTGAGTTTGAAAAAATTGGATTGTAACGTAAGCTAGAAAATCTATCAGGATCAAGGTGAACAGGACCATTCTGTAGTTCATATAGCACCAGTGAAAAGTTAGAATCGTCGTAATGATTAAAGGGCAGTACATCTGATAGCGAGTAATGTGTCACTGTCATTTTAAGTTAGCAGTAAAGTAACTAATAAACGTATCTGATTTAACCACGTCTGTCCTTTACAATCAACTTGTCCAATACAAAGCACGCTACTTTTCCATTCCGCTTTGCTTCCTTTAGCTTGGGTCTCTGCTCTTCACGCTTATCTAGGGTCTCCTTGGCAAGATCTTCATTTACGTATAAACCGACAGGTTTAATTCTTCTTGTCATCTTCAATATTTGCTCCTTTTGCTTAAAGTCTCGAAGCTTGCACACAATTGTGCCAGGGCGTCTTCTAGAGCCAGAAACAACCCTACCGACAAGATGAGCACGTTCGACGTGGAGCGCTTCTTCAGGGTTGAGCTTCTCCGCTAGAACTTATTTGACTTTTTCCTCTGTAGTGTCCCACGATTCGTTTTCTTCCTATGAGATCCCATCAATTCTGATGTTGTTTCTTCTACTCTGATTCTCCAAATACTCTAATTTGTCCATATGATAGTCGATAGAGTCGTAGATGTCCTTGATGTCATCCTCTATCTTAGCAAGTTTGGTTTTACACGGCTTCAGTTGGTCCATATCTTTTCTGAGAGAATTCAAGACTTCGTTTGAATTCTTTTGTTTCCTTCTGGCATATGTTTAGGCGAGTCTTAACTTCAGCCACAGTTCCAACCACTGTATCTAGTCGAGAATTGCAATTGCTCACAAGCGAATCTGCAAGGGTTTTAAACATCCTTTCTTGAAGCTGAAGCATCTCATTCCACATCGCCGGCGTTACAAATTCATTCGAGGGATTCTTGTCAGCGCTTGGTGAGCCGCCGGTTGTCTTAGAATTACGTGTTTCTGGCATAATTTTGGTGCACAGGAAAAACAAAAATACTGAAAAAACCGATGAAATAGGCAAGGAAAAGAGCGAAATAATCAAAACACGAGCAGCTAAAAAATTAGCGTCCGCCCGCCGTAAATACGCGCGTTTTGTCCAAATCCTAATCCATATATAAGACATCGTTAATGCAATCCAAGCCAATATGAATCAAGGTCTATACTCTTGTGGAGTGTTTATTAACCTCAATAAAGCTTTTGACACCATTGATAATAATATTCTACTTCGGATAAACTCAACTTCTACGGCTTTCGTGGATTAGTCAACCAATGGTTTTCCTTATATCTCAAAACCCGCACCCTAACCACTCAAATTGCTAATCACATATTGTTATGAATTCGTACATTGCGTTACGCTTGTTGTATTTTTGATTTATTCGTTAATTTTTTACCAGTTTTGACATTTATCATTATTATCACAGTTGACTAGCCTCGGAGTTTTACCAGATCTCATCGGAGAATAAACGAAGTTTTTTACGGAGTCATTTCATTTCGATTTTTGCTATTTTGTCGTTCTTTTCTACGCTTGGAGGAACAATAACTTCTCACCATATGCTTCTACGATTTTAAAATAAACGAACCTTGATCAATTGTGGAGCGCCAGCTTGAACACTGCGAACTCTACCCGTGGGAACGCGACACAGATCAAATAAAGCCACAATCAGCTTTGGAGTTCCTCAAGTTTCCGTTTTAGGTCCTCTTCTCTTTTTTCTGTATGTTAATAATTTCCACCCGTGCTCTACTAAACTTAAGTTCTATCTCTTCGCTGACGATACCGATATACTTTTGGTTAAAAAAAAAATGAAAGTTTTTAAAACGGTTGTGAATACTGAATTGGTTAAACTCTACGACTGGTTTACATCTAATAAGCTGACTCTTAATATTTTTTAGTAAATCCAATTCATCTTAAACGAAAAAAGCCTAATTATCAGCCTAAAATATGTTCATTTGACCACGAGAAAAATGAATATGCTACTCTTGAATCCAAGAAAATATTAAATATCTTGGCATTTGGATTAATAAAAACCTTATCTATTACCTGGAAACATCATATCGATAATCAGCAAAACCGTTGGCTTACTTGCGAAATTGCGTCATTTTGTACCCCGGCAAATTCTTCTTAAAATCTATAAATCACTTATTTACCCGTATATTACATATCGACTTGCTGCTTAAGGCCAAGCAGCAAAGACACATCTCAAGAAAACCCTACTGCTACAAAAAAGAGCTCTTCGGATAATAGACTTCTCGGACAGACGCGAAAACACAATACCTCACTTCATTGACGCCAACGTTTTACACTTGAATTTTTTATATTATCAGACTATATCTAATTTTATGCATGATGTCCATAACAATGAGGTACCTTCTGGCATTCTAAATCTATTTAAAGACAAAAACAAGTAGTTGCCTCTCTTACCAATACAAGAGCATCGGCGTCAGGAAATTTTTATGTTCACAGTTCCTATCTAGAATCATATAAACTGTCTTTATCTCGCTTTGGAGCTAAGCTGTGGAATGAAATAACCTGCCACATCTGACACCTCTCGAAGAATAAATGCAAAAAAACACTCCGCAAATTACTTTTTGGTATTTTAAATTCAGAATATGACTATATTGATACGCCCGCCTTAATTAAAAGGGTAAAATTAGCCAAAAATGTCGAAAAAAAATTCTTGCATACTAGTTTCTTCTTTTACAATTTATTTATTTAATTCTTTCTTCTTTATCGTGTTATCTAGTCTTCATCCATATTACGATTTTTATTTCATCTATTTGTAACCTGAAACTTTCCTTAGTTAGCCTTAGTCTTAATTTCATATTTTGCACGCAATGTCCCGCCTCGAATAGCCTTGCTAGATGCGGGAAATGCTTCTGTAATATTATCTGTTTATTAATAAAGTTTGTTGTTGTTGTTACAGTTTAAGTAAAGATATTTTCTTCATATAGATAACTTGTTTACTACAAAAAGATATTAAAAGTAAAAAGAAGTAAGTAAGTAAGTAATCGGTTTAATAACAGGGTTTCCACATTGTGGCTCTTCATGCCATCTGTTACTTATAACTAAAAATAAAAAAATATATATGTATTAAATATTTACAATAAACAATATACTATGAAAAAAAATAATAGAACAAAAAACGATTTAAACAGAAAGTGTTTACAAGGATCGTATGAATAAAACTTAAACTATTAAGATAAGCTGGCCTGTGCCCGGTTCTTTAAGAATTTACGAAATGCGCGAACTAAATGGATTAACATTCGTCACACTTCTCTTTAAGATTATCAGGAAGGTTATTAAAAAGGGTAGGTGGAGTGTTCTGGAAGGTTCTTTTTTTCCAGAGGAGCTTGTAATCTTATAGAGCCCGAAGAGCGCAAACTTCTACATATAGACTCTCTGTAAGTTTAAATATGAAGGCCACTGCCTAGCGTGAAGTGCTTTAAAAGTCAACTTAAGCAAATTAAAGTTCCTTCCCTCTTCAGCTGGGAGCCAGTTGAACTTTATCATTTACGTATCTGCCATAAACAAAACTTGCGGCAGCAAATTCAATTTTTTGAAGACGTTTTAACAAGTATCCTGGCAAAGGTAAATAGACCGAGGCACAATAGTCAAGCCTCGATAATACAAGAGACTCTGCAAGTCTCTTACGTACGTGGAAGTCTGTAAAATGTTTTAATTTTCGCAACGCGTAAGACTCCATAAGAAGCATTAGCGATGTCCTCGACATGATCATTTTGTTTTAAGTTCATCTGGCTTGTTAATAACAGCATCGACTTAGTTTTCACTGGATTTAGGGCGAGATTGGACTTTAAAGACCACGAAGTCATATGGTTAAGAGAGTTATTAAAAACTCAGGAACATTTTGTGCGAGACCTTTGACGGACCAATTGCTTGTAAAGCGTAGTACCATCAGCGTATTGAGAACACGAAATGGAGTCTCGCGGGTCAGAAGTATATATGTTAAACAATAACGGGCCTAAAATTGACCCCTGGGGAACCCTGAAATGTGAATGATCCAGGAACGATTTCTTATCATCAATTTGGACGTTCTGAGAGCGATCACATAGGTAGTTTGTCATCCCAATATAGAAAAGATTTTGAGAACCCCATTTAGACATCTTCCGGATGACAACAGAGTATGATACAATGCCAAATGCTTTCGATTAATCGGCCAATACTATTAAAGTAAGTTCGCCCTTTTTCATAGCTCAAAAAGCGTCATTATTTCTACTCGGATTAAATATTTCAATATGATTTTTTATTGTATAAAACGCTGACACTCTGGTCCTTGTCTGAATCTGCAAGAGCTATTTGGAGTACTGTATTCCATTCGTTTAATCAGATCAGATTAGACTGAGACAATACCTGAGCAATTCAGTCGCTGTAAAAAACAACCTAACCTGAAATAATTCCGTACGGGGTTGACCGAGAAGTACAACATTGCGATGACGGGACGCACTTCTCTATCCATTGAGCTAATCAAGAAAACTGGAGAGCTAGCCATGCGAGTTCGTAATATGCCAGTTGGTGGAAATGACATGAATTGAAATATACGGAATGAATCATATTTTGAACTGCAGATAAAGATATGCCCGTCGGGAGATATGAAACGGCAAACATGATCTTCGCAGTAAAATGAGCAACATACCTACCTGAGCAAGTTGTGCAGAATGATTCCTTAACCGGTATCAAAGCCATAAGAGCTGCTAAAAACACCCTCTGTAACGGCATAAACATGGTGCAAGCTAAGGTTTTGTTCCTTAACTTCTCACCTTGATACAGCCAGACAACACCAACCTGCAAATAAACACGGAAAGTTACGTGGGTGGCAGCCATGATTAAAAATTTCTACAATCATGCAGAGGAGACGCGCCATTCTTGATTGCTTCTAAAGTTTTAGGTGATGAAAAAGTGGAACAACATGCAACTTTTTTTAGCCACTGTTCAGTTAATTGCCGACCTCATCTTGCTGAAAATCAGGGGCGCGATTTAGCTCAGTGTTTTTGGTGTGACCTCGTTTGCGTTTCCGTCGGAGTTTAACACCTAAAACACTGAGATACCCTCCAGAATGAACACGTACTTTAAGAAGGAGAGTGCTTTTCTAAACAGATACTGATACTAAATGTAGTCAGAAAGTACCTATTGTAGGTCGGGGTAAGCTCTAGTCTTACAACGTACGTGCCGTGATCTTGAATACCAAGATAAAGAGTATGTTAAACACAGGATGTTGTATTAGGCACAGGAAGTGACGAAGCCTCTAAAGAGGAAATTGAATATTATTATCTCCTGTGACTCTACTGTATTTTTTTTCCACTTTTGCCTCAATTTTTTCACGAACTTGTTTAGTTCCTTTTTACGGAGGATGCGTAACATTCAAAATAGGGAGTTTTAGATAACCTGGCATACGTTCAACTCACTCAATTTGTCAAATGAAAGTGAAATCTCCCGGGGTTAAATAACGAAGAATCATATCCAAGTTCCTAAAGAGAAAGAAAAATTAAGAGGCCGTTTGTTTGCATTCCCCTTAAACCTCACATCGGAGTCGTGCAGAGAAAGAAAAAAGTATAGCAAAAATCGTAATACACGTGCAGAGTTGTTGTTTTGATAAACAAAAGCCTTTAATGAATGCTGAAATACCCTTGAATACTTTTGAGTGTTTTAATTTAAATAGTGAATTAATTAATAGAATAAACAGGGCTGCCATTGACGTGGCTTGAGTATGACTTGTAAACAATGAAATAGTGTGGGATTTTTTTTCCAATATGTTACAGTTTTTCATTTTACATCCATTCGTATATCTTTAATGTCTTAAGAGCGACCCAGCCTGTGTACAGCCACCCCCCCTCCCCCTACTCCCTACCCCCTCCTCTGTCTATAGGAGTCCTGGAAACACAAAAACATTTATCAAAATTAAGGAGTAAAGTAAAGAATATATATAAAAAAAAACCTTTAATTTTTAAAGACCGATTCAGGCACATTCCTAGTTTAAAAATCGTGAAAAAAGCGCTACATACTAAGACAATCATCATTTTGGCGGCCTTTTTATTTCAAATCTTTCCAAAATGCTAAAATTTCCCGCAACACACCGCGAAATGACAACGAAATCGTAGTATGAGCTTATGTACATGTAGCTAGTATTACATTATGAGGCAAAGTAGCTCCGATAAAGAGCACAACTTAAGCTTACGTCTCGTTCTGTTTTTCCCCTTTCCGCTGTTGTTTAGCTGGCTCTCTACATATCTCTTCATTGACAGAGAAATACAGGAAACTATTCCACTCCAATTTCCGGGATGTTTTTCAGTTTTTTTACGAGAAATACTCTTCGAGAAAACCTTTTCTTGTTGAATGTCTGCGAAGCTCTCGCAAAGCGAGAGCGCTGCAAGCTGCAAGCGCCTATATATAAGGCGTGAATTTTGGCGCGAATGTCACACTCCTCTGTGACTTGTGATTGGACGTATCATTTTTCTCACACCTGAAGAAACATCGTTCACTCCTCTATAATAAAGTTATATATATAGCCATCTCTGCGAGCAGTTATATGTTTGTTTTGTTTTCCCAATTCAGACCACGTGATGTTCTCTAGGCAATTTGCTTTATGTCTTTTCATAAATTATGCTCATATATGCGCATGGATAGGACGAAATTTGAAAAAGTTCTCTGGGGCACGATCACGTGATCTGATAGAACAAACAAAGCAAATAAGCTGAAAAGGTCTATTTGACATATACCTAGATTTTTGAAAACCGGGTTAGCAAAAATATCAACTCATTCTACTACTTGGCAATTTAAAACAACAAAACTCATTCAAAGGCCGATTAAAAGCCTTTAACTGACGCCGCGCAGAAAGTTAACGGTCTCTAGAAGCATTCCAACGAGTCCAAATTTAAAATGACGCAAATTTTAGAACATTTATTCAGTAAACTGACTTCGCGAAGTTTCAAACCGGTGTCATTTCTTTTCAGAAATTTTTAAGTTGAGTGAACTGCAGCGAAAGAGTGCCTGGTTAAGGCCTACATAACAATTTAAATAGTTAGCAAAACACTACTTTTTCGCGGTCCGATAAACAACAGGATTCCGCATGAAATAGACAACAAACTGAATGAAACATAGTGCACAAATTATAACCTTCTTATCTGCAAAAACCGGCCTATGGTGCAATGCCATTACAGCCCGCTGAAACTAGACCTAGATCCAATTTTCCTGAGTCGAGAGTTACTTTTCCAAGGTACAATTAGCTAAGCTAAACACCGACGAAACAATATCAATGGCTGGCACAGAATATTTTGGCGAAACCGCAGTCACAGGAAAAAATAACCGATTCCCATTTTTGGATATTTTATGGAATTTAAAGAATACCCACAAAAATCCCAAATTTGGAAGAGTGAGACAAGTCCCAATCAGGGAACTTGGTTGGGAATTCCCTGGTTGGGACTTGTCTCACTTTGCCAAATTTGGGATTTTTATGGGTATTCTTTAAATACCTTAAAATATCTAAAAATGGGCATCCGTTATTTTTTCCTGTGAGTTCAACCACGCGATCACATAGCTGTCAACACCATGAGGAATTCACACAATCACACACTTTCGCGGCACTGATAAGACTATCCACAGCCACGCATAATCTTCTCACGTTTAACATAAGCGAAATATCATCGAATAGCTCGGAAAAACTCAGCTTATTGCCAGATAAACACCTTTGGACTTTTCTCTTACACTCGTCTTATTCAAGTTCCCGGATGTAGGGTCAGACGGTCGGCGGATCACCTTAGCCTTGTTTTCACACCAGAAAAAAACAACGTCTTGGCCCGGGTCAAAGTTCACCTGCAATTTTGCTCTCACCTAATTCATTTGACTCCTAAGAGCCTGTTCCCGAGGCCAAAGACTTAGTGGTCACCTTAGAAAAGCGAACAATATCGTACCTTTCTATCTCAGCCCGGATCAGGGTGATTGATCCGTTTAGCCAAATGAAACGAGAATATAATAAGATACTGAACGATGCAGACTCTGCGAATCGTAATAACTTTGTCCCATCTCAGAGCTTTACATGAAGCTCTCCTGGAAACTTTTCTCAAGGTGACCAATATAGACAACTAAACTGCGCTAAACTGCACTGAAACCAGCTTTAGGCGCGCGCTGATTTCAAATAACTGTCTCTTGTGTTAAAAGAAAGAATTGTGGATAGGGAAAAGAATACGGATGGGGGGAGGTAACATCGTAATTCTGTATAATTCCACTTCTACACAAATCCCTAACCACAAAACAAGCAAAAAAAAAAAACGACACGGGCAAACAACACAGTAAACAAGCTATTAGACAGGGGAAGTTGAGAAAATTACAGAATGTTTGCTAACCCGGTTTTCATAACTCCAGGTAGACATAGGTTCTGGGAATCGAAGTGGATTTCTGATTTCTGGTCTGTGCTGCTGTGTTGAATGAGAGTGAGACACCTCTAAAAAGGAATCCAGTACTTTCTATTTACATGTCTTCAAGTAATGCGATTCTTCTACTTCTCTCCAGCTGGTTTACCTCTGTAGCGGGTCCTTCTCTAGCCTGTGGGCATCCGCCTATCACGCTCCTTCAAAAAAAACGGGAAGGGGAGGAGACGATGGAGGCCAGACGGAGGAGGGAGGAGGAAGAGGGGTAGCAGGAAGAGGAGAAGTAGGAGGAGTAGGAGGGGTAGGAGGAGGAGGAGGGGGGGAGGGGAGAGAGAACAATAGAAATTTGGTGGTGCTGGTTTTGTTGACAGAATATTAAGATTTTGGGGGGAAAAGCGAAGAAGAGGGGCGAAAAAATTGAATTGTGAAGGCATAAGAAAAAAAGAGAGGGGTAAGTAAACTGTTTGTTTAAATAAATATCTACTTTACCTTATCTCTCATCAATATGCAAAATTGGCAGTGACCCGCAATAGGACCATCTCCGTTTTTTCATTTGAGAAAGGGGCAGGGAATAGAATTTTCATAATTACGTTATGGTGTGTGATTTTAAGTGACAGACGACATCGATACCAAATAACGAAGAGGCGCACATGGCTTAATTACTATGTCAAAATGGATATTAAACCCGTCGAACCGGTTAAACCACCCAAAAATAGCATGTGACGTTATCTTAATGAATGGGATTCCCCCGGTTTTCGTTTTGTTCACGGTTTTGGGCTCGGCTCCTCGAAAAGTGGTAGTTACACCCAGGATTGTGCTAAATTTTAAACATGGTTTCTTGTTTAAGAACATGTAACTCGAGCTTATAAAATCCGAAAATGCAAAAATGTTTATTACAGAATGTTACCCTAAGCAATACATAGGAAGGTAAATGAAAGAAAGAAAGAACAAGAAGAAGCAGAAAAAGAAGAAGAAAAAAACGAACAAAACTTTAATCCTGGATTAGCGGTAATTGGCCTTTCGGGACACTAGCCCGGAGCGCAAAATTTCAAAACAGGCTCACCAAACTTTGTGTTTCTCAGGGGCGAGGGTCGAAAACTCTTTATTATAAAATGAAACTCACACCGACCCGTATTCGTTAAAAACGCACTAATTTATTCTGGTAAACGATGTCAAAAACAAGTCAAAATTTACGTTAGCTTTACGTTTATAACTTACGGGGAGCGCTCCGCGTTTTTATCGAATTTGGCGTCAAATGTACTCTCATGAACTGCGCCATAATCGAACGCACACGTTAAACGCGTAAAAAAGCGCTCGAAGCCCAAATGTTAGCAATTTGTATTTTTTATTTCTCGTTTTCAGCTCTTTTTCTTTGGCGGGAAGAAGAACCTTCCACTGACAAACTCAAAGAAGTTCATTTTTAAAATCAAAAAAAAAAAAGGGTTGCTTGCCAGGTGGTCTGAAACTAGGGAAGCTACTTACAACCTGTTTTAGGGGGGTAGCGTGAGGGTTTGAAGGTGTACGTGTGTACGCACGGAAAGAGGGGCGGGGGGGGCATGCTCTCCCAGAAAATTTTTCAAATTTTAATAGGGGCTCTGAAATGCCATTTACTGCATTCTCCGCAGGACATTTTCAGTAATTTTATACGAAGGGAAATGTAATAGTTAGTTGTTTAATACACATCTGTAAGGTGCAATGTTTATGGAGGTAATCAAGGAGGTTTAATGCAAGCAAAGGGTGAGACGTCTACCCTTCAGACGGGTAAAGACACCAATATAATGCGAAAGATTTTTCAATAATCCTGATTTAATGATAAAAATGCTTTCAAAAAATAAAGAATATATATATTCCAGATTTCAGCTGTACGCACGGGCGCACGTGCGTATATGGGAGAAAATGTTACTCCTCTCAATTCTCTATTTCATATTTAAGTCTATACCTAGTGCAACACATACACCCAAAATTGGAACTTCTTTAGATTCCAGCTTAGACTCAGCTTAATTAAAGAGCAGCAATCCTAAATATTCCAGTTTCAAATTATAGGTTTCAAATCAAAAAGAAAAAAGAAAAACGGATTGGTCCGAGTCATTATTTTGACAAGATACCTTTACAAGGGTTCTTCCTGATTATTATCTCAACGACCACTAGACTGCACATTAGAATATGAAACTGTTTGTTGAGTTCAGCACAAGTGATCCTTTGTTTCTCTCATCAACTAGCTATAGCAGCAAAGGCCAACAAAACACGCCAAAGCGCACAGAAAACCGCATCTTCAGACGAGACCACGCCTTCATTTCGTCATACAGCTGGCGGGAAATTTTCCACGTCCTCGCGCGTTCTCTTTCTCTCCTTTTAAACGGTGAGAGAAAGAAGATATTTTTTAGGTCCAACGCCAATTTGCCATTCTTCGTAGCATGCGTGGAAACGGCAAAGGGAGGGAGCTGAAAAGGGAGATAGAAGGGCTTCTGCCACGCAGGCTACTAATTCGCTAAATCAAACGCGTTCAAACGTACATATATGGTATACTGCAAATTCTCTTAGCAAGCTGGGTTTTTTCGCGGCTCACTTCTGTAAACGCACGTGCCTGGGACCTGCTTGAGGGTCCAATCGATAGCCAGTCCAAATAGGAACATTTGTTTGATTAAGGATACTATATTCTCCACTTAGGCTGATTTGTCATCCCTGAAGAAAGCAGTATTGGCGAAACTTCGAAGTGTCCGCTCCCGGGGTGAGGGTGGGGAGAGGAAAAGGGCTCACAGAGGAGGTTTGAGGAGAGGTGTCAGGCCCCCGAGACCTTCAAACCGGGACCCTGTTCAAGGCAAAATCGCTCATTTCACTGCCCTGTTTTTAAGACAAGAGACTTTATTTCATGAACTTTTTTTGTGGAGACTGGACCGAGCGGAGAGCACAGGGGAAAAAAGCTGCTAGCTGAGGTGACATGAAAGCCAAGAAAAGCATTTCCTTTAAAGAGGAAAATACCTTTTATATCCTCTTCTTGCAAATTGGCCCTGTATCTCACTCATTGGAATATCATTCTAATTTTTCTGGCTATTTAAAAGAATCTCCATTAATGTTCATCTTTTCTTTTCTTATTCATTCCTTAGCTATAAACAAGAGACGATAATCATTTTACAATTTAACGAGGTGCCTAGGAAAGAGCCTCAAGTGAATTCTAAAAAAGAGTTAGATTCTCCCTTCAGCTAGTCGCCTTCGCAGCTGGTCCAGCCAGAGTCACGCAACACTCTCCATGCAGGGGTGGGGAGCATTGCGTGACTCTGGCCTAAGCAGTTGCCAAGGTGACTGCCCTCCAGTTTGCTTGTATGTGCTTGTGAATTAAATCAAAAGTGTGGAATAAGTACCCAGGGTGATCAGCAAACACCCTGAGGCCTTATGTTACTCTTCCCTTAAACCGTGTGAGTTATTTTAATACTGCACGTGAATTCAAATTGTTACATGCAAGCAGCTTACCAGATTGACGGTGTTAAATGTAGTAGTATAAATACTGGTAATTCTGTAACCTACAAAATTAAGTTTTTGTTATAATTATTAATGTCAGCTGTGTAAGACTAGTTTTTAAACATCATACCTCCATTTGGGCATTAATCATGCATGAACTGTACTTTATAGTACCTTTATACAAGAAACACAAAAATATTAAAGAAAGATTGTCTAATTCAATTTCTTTGAGTAACGTTAACATTAAAACCATTAAAAAACTGAAAATTAGAAAGTGCAGAATAAAAAAAGTTTTGTTTACCACATAATAACCGTTCTGAACTGTACTGAACTGTTCAAGTGCATGACAATTTTTCCACAAAACCATTCAAACATTAAACATTTCCTTCAAGAAAAATTCCAGAAAAAAGATGATCAAGGAAATGTCTCTTCATTTTCCTCAGCTTCAGGAGTTACATTAGATGACCTGCTCAAGGTTTTATCTGTTGCTAAAAAGGAAGGAGAATCATACTGATCCTTTACAACTTCAACTGGCCGTTGCATTTTTCTCAAAAACGAATTCATTGCTTTACGGCAGTATCTCCACAATAGTTCCTATCTGATGGTGATGTCCGATAAATTTTAAACACAATTTCCTTGATGATTTCTACTCTGGCGGGATCAACTCTCTCTTTCCCACGCACACCTGAAAGATTTCTGCCCAGAAGTTCTTCTCGTGTGAACATTTCACGTAACAGTCGCACAGCAAAATTCATTGTCGAAGTAGATTTTGCTTGCAGGGCAATAAGGTCATCACGTGATAAAGGAAAGTTTAAATCTTCAGGCAAGGTCTTTTCTGTTATCTTGGCCATTTCAAGTTGGATGCGCTGTCGCGAGGTCATTCCACGAATTGCTACTGAGTCATTTACTCCTTTATAAGTGGCAGTCTGTTCAGATTCTTCCTCACCTTCTCCTTGGGTATCAAACAGCCGTGCCACTGTTGCATTTGCTTGGATATTAGCTCCTGTAGATGAACTGCTTGTCTGGGTTTTAGCAGCATTAAACTGAGATGTACTTGATGCATTATTCACCTGTCCACTTACATTATTCTGTACTCCAGATGACATGGCAGCACTTAAGTTATTTCCAGTTGCCTGATTGTTGGCCCCCATCATTGCCATAAGCTGATCAATTTTGTGTTCCATCCTGACCAATACAGGTAAGATAATCCCTAGTTTGTCGTCATTAAGGGCATTTAGCACTGACAAAGATGTTGGAACAGTTGATTGAACAAGAGGCTGATTTGTAGAGTTCATCACTGGTGAAGTAAAGATATTTGGAGGCATTGTATATTGGACAAATGTTGGGATTGGAGTGCTGCCATCACCAGGATGAGCAACAACTTGAACAGGCTGAGATTGCGGTACTGCTTGAGAGGGCTGCAACCCAGTCTGGGGAGGTTGTAGTACTGAATTGGGATACTGCAGAACTGGTAAGGTAGGCTGTATTAATGCTTGCAATGGTTGATGAGATGCTGTCTGCAGGGGCATCTGCTGGGCTGAAAGTTCATTACTCGTAGTGCTCTGGACATATTGAAATCATATTAATATTTAAATTGAAGTGTACAATAAAAAACAAAAAACAAAAACAAAATGGGTAATCTAATAATTATTGTTAAATACAGTGGAAGCTCTCCTAACAGACACTCGTAAGCGAAAACCTCTACTTATGGCCGCCTTAACAAAACGCCGTTTTTCTCAACTCCCACACAAACTCTGTATTTTTACATACCCATAAGCGCACAGCCCCAGTTACGAAGGGACAACTTTTTTGTGTCCTGATGGTCTCCGCTTACGAGAGCTTCCACTGTATTAAATGAAATAAAAACCTGACTCACCAACTGAAGTTGGGCCCCTATTCCAGCTGGTCTACTGTTTTATCCACCTTTTTAAGTGTTATATTGAAAATTAATTGGCTGACCTGTAAAGTTTGGCCTCATTCTTGCAAGATTTTGCAACAGAAATAGCCAATTTTCAATACCCATTCTTGGGACTAGTTATTTATTTTGTTGCTAATAAAATAAACATTGGAAAGTTTTTATAGCCATTCAGACTATTTTTCCCTGTTACAAGCAAAGTATCAATTGAGTAAAAACACCCCATTCTAGACCAGGGGCCCATTTCTGGAAAGTCCCATAAGCTTTTTTTGGGCCTGAATCCAGATATTAAAATCAAAATCTTAAGGATAAAAATGCAAGACCTAGCTAAGAAACCACTTCATTTTGTTTGGATAAAATGTTTGAAACCTTAACCTTGAAAGTAAACAAAAGAGCACTACCTGCAGGGTAACTTCTAGGAATTTCAAGAAACGAATCCAAGGAGCAGTGTGGTTTAAGCATGCAGAGATATTTTGGGGGAGTGCTAACAACTGATTAACGACTTAACATTAAAATAAAATCAAACTTACCAATGGTTTTGCCTTCTTTGCATTCTTAGGCTACAAGTGCATTAAGAAGGAAAATTAAGCTATGTTAGTTGTAGAAGAAATGCATTTGTATTCATAGGGCAAGGGTGGCGCAGTGGTGAGAGCACTCGCCTTCCACCAATGTGGCCCAGGTTCAAATCCCGGCATCGACGCCATATGTGGGTTGAGTTTGTTGTTGGTTCTCTCCCTTGTTCCGAGAGGTTTTTCTCCATGTACTCCAGTTTTCCCCTCTCCTCAAAAACCGACACTTCCAAATTCCAATTCGATCGGGAACACACAGACCATTTAAACGAGTTCATATGAACTCTTAAGTGCTTCGTGGGTAAAAAAGCAATTTATTTACTTATTTGTTTATTTATAGGATTTCACAAGGCTGACTTGTAAGCATGCTTTTCCAAAAGGACAGAAGAGAATGTCATGGTGTGGACCCCTAATGCATCGCAGGAACAGTGATTCCCCCCCTGTTGTTGTCCGTGGGGGCATCTCTTGGGCTGCAAGTTCATTAGTTGTAAAATTAGTGGGCCTCGCTCCAGCTGGTCTTATAGGGGAAGAAATGACAAATTTAAGGGAATATTTTATTTGACAATATGGCGGCACTACGCCTTCCACAGGCGTGTTAAAATATCTCCCAGAATTATTTTATTGTGTTTTGATTACAAGAATTAATTTTAAGGGCTGCTTTTAATTTTCAACTGTTCAAAGCATTGTTGACTTTCGACACTTTCGAAGGCGCGATTTTATTGCGTGCTACATGAAAGCAGAGCCGCGCCTCGGTCGCAGCAAAAACATCTCGATTCCACAAAAGTAGAGAACACCCACAATACCTGTGTGGCCGATTTCGTTATATTTCTTTTTAGTCCTCTTCCCTTTCTTCTATCTGTTGACTCCTGAAGAAAGGATAACATAAAAAAGTCTTAGCTTTGACCGAATGGCCATCGAATATGTGTTCTCCGCGGTCGTGCCAAGTACAATCGCGGAAACGACAACAAAAGCTTTTTCACCGAGAGATAAAGCCATCAATCTTACCGTTGTTTCGTTCTGTAACTCCTGATCATCTCCTGAATTTGCCATCGTAGGACAATAAAGCCTTGACTATACTCTCGTCAAAAATCTATCGAAAATAAACCAGGTATTTCGCCCGGGACGGATCTCGTTGGTTCGTCATTCCCCGAGCTTGGCACGCGGCTCTAGCGGAACAGCGGACGCAAACAAATTCCAGCCAATCAAATTTTTTCATCTCACAGGTACCCCAAGCACCATAGCCCACGTTCGATAGGTTAAAATCAGGGGGGCGGGGGGGCACGACTCCAATAGCGCCTAGTACTTGTTTCGTGTACCTATGATCCACCGATTTATGACATCACATCCGGTTGCAAAGTTGCTGCTCTGTTTTGGCGCGAAGCACCAAGATGGACGCCCGATGCTATTTGGTTTCTTCGTTATTTTAACCAACAGGCTAACGGAATTATGTATCTTAAATGCCGAGAATGTTGAGAAGGTATCTAGCCGGCCTTTCAAGCAAATCTCATGACCAAACAAAGAAAATTTAGTATTATTTTAATGATAAATATGATGCAGCTGCGTGGAATGTCATGGCGAGTCTTGCGATGTTTCAAAACGAGTGTCGTTTTGCGGCTTTTGCGGCCTCTGATTTAGAGAAGTCATCAATCAAAATATAATTTCCTAAGCGGAATAGAATGGGGAAAACGCCGATGGCCACAGTTTAAAGTGTTCACCGCTGTAAGGCTGGATCACGCCCCGTAAAGTTGCAGAAACTTGCACTCAACTGCATGGTTTTGAGGAATGTCATGGCGAGTCTTTCGCTGTTTGTAATCGAGCGTCACTCAAGAGTTTGGCTTTCGCGGCTTCTGATTCATCGAAGTCACCAATCAAAATTGCCTATCCTGAGCGAAATACCGAGGGGAAAAAGCTTATGGTCACAGTTTAAAGTGTTAACAGCTGGAAGGCTTGACACTCGACGTAAAGTTGCTGAAAGCTCTTCTCGACTGTACGATTTGAGCAATGTAATGGTGAGTCTTTCTCTGTCTAATCGACCGTCACTCAAGACTTTGGCTTTTGCATCTTCTGATTCACCGAAGTCATCAATCTAAATACCCTATCCTGAGCGAAATACCGTGGAGAAAAAGCCTATGGTCACAGTTTAAGGTGTTAACAACTGGAAGGCTTTGCCACTCGACGTAAAGTTGCTGAAAGCTCTACTCAACTAATTTCGAAATAGTCACATGTTGCGTGCTTCTGGAAGGTTAGTGTTGGATTTTTAGCATTTAATTTG